TTAACAAGAGTCTTGAGTCTCCTACCACTAGCAAAGCATCTCAGCAATCTAAGATGCCTATGACAATGTGAAAGAATTTTCTGTGAACTGGGAATTTTCTTTAGTAGGTGTGAAAGATCATAAAGGTTAATACTGGGCCAATTCTCAAGAAGTTTCTCCTTTCCCATCAGACCTCTGCCAAGGCCAGAGTGTAAACCCATAGTGGGTTTACATTGTGGAAATTTAAATCTGGTTTTGTCATCTATTTTGTGCTCCAGAAATATAGTTTGGAAGAATTAGAAGCTACTTTGCTAGCAATTTCCTGACACATCGTTGATCGTAATACTTCAGTTACTGATATTTCCAGCAGAAATCTAAAAAGATTGGGTGGGATTGTAAATGAACACATCCACTGCCCACCATTAAAAATGTATTACAATTTAGAATAGAATAGAATAGAATAACAGAGTTGGAAGGAACCTTGGAGGTCTTCTAGTCCAACCCCCTGCCTAGACAGGAAACCCTACACAACTTCAGACAATTTGATCAAAGAGAGCAGATTTTTTTTTTATTCTGCCTCGTAGATTATTGTTGTATTTTGAGGGGTTCATACTTTTGTTTGATCCCTGTGGCACATTTGTTCAGAAGTGTAAACATTTTGCTTGTCTTAATTTTAAATGTGTATAAGCAAAAATGGATTGATATGTGATAATTTAGTAAAAAAATGGAAATGAAGATTTCTTCTTTTGGTCATACAAATCTCATCATTTTTCTCATATCAATAAATCATAGCATTGCATCTGAATACAGCTGTTTTCCCTTTGTATATCACCTGTACAGATTTTCTGCATTTGTTTCTAAATGATCAACCGGAGTATTCATAAGCCTATTCGGGTCTGTTATATATTAAAAAGGATGCACACCCAAAGATAAGATGAAATTCATGTTTTTAGATTAACCAAGCCAAATATGATTTTAATGCTTTTATTACTTGATATAAACTTCATCTTTCAGGTTGGAATTCCCATAAAACTGTCTTAATTTATTAGCTTTGTCATGTTAGTATTGGATAACTAGCTCAGAGATAAATCTGTGCTTAGTATGAATGTGCCTGAGTTGATGATGTTCATGGTAATTTATATAGAAAATCTGGTTTGGGTATGAGGGAAGTGCAATTTTATGTGACAGCTTTAGATGGTGTAATGCTTATTGATCTAAGGCTGTTTTATATTTGGAAGTCTATTTTCAACCATGTTTAGAATTTGATGAGGTCTCTCCACCCATCTCTATCTCATTGAGTAAAATACTACTTTTATATGATGATAGATATTATCTCACTCTTCTTCTAATATATATTTAATATATTTAATATTAAAATATAATATACTTGCAATGTTTTCCTCATGATTTCTGCAGGGAGTGAAAATATGTAGGACTTTGAGAAAAAGTTTCTAATAAATGTTAATGCTAAACTTTTTTACTAAGCTTAATTACACTCAATGGTAATAGAAACTCCTCTACATAGGGAGGTAATATAATTTACATGATTACTTCACTTGTTGTCTACAACTATTTTTTTTGTTAAATTCCACCATCCATATACTCTTACTTTAAAAAAAAACCAGTGACATTGAAAATCATCAGCCAACTAGCCAAATTCCACAGTATGATTTGTTTTGTAGAAAAGGATATTTAAGGATAGAACTTAAAAAATGGTTTTACAGACTTTTAATTCTCGTTCCTATTTTAACATACGTTATTTAAAAAATGAAGTTAAAAAGCCATAGCATAATCCAAGAGTCTCCTCTTAGGACACTGGAGTCCAAGTTTGAAATAGAAGTTGCAGAAATTGGATTGTACCAGACAGTATCCTGGTTGTTACTAGGGAAGTAGAATGGGTGGATATATAGAAGGGACAAGTCAAGGATTGCTGCAAACTCTGCGTTAGCGTCAGGAAGGGCATCTGGCCAATAAACACTCAGTACCATCCAGTCACCCCAACTCCACCCAAATTAAAGGATTACGGAATCATTAGAAAATGATAACAGTTTAAGAAATGTCAAGTATATGAAAAAGAAGCTATTTTTTTAAATTTTTAATTTTCAAATATACAAAATACACACAAACAAAACTTAGACATAAACTACATTTACACAATACATTGGAACTTTATGTTTCTTCTTATGGCAGTTTCAAATCGCTACAATTTGAAGTTAATTTTGATCCAGATTTGCTAGATATATTCCAGATTTCATTCATATTCACTAATTTAAATACACATATACCAAACCGCTGCAAATTCTAAGCCAACTGATTTTGTGGAGTGGAGCCTCTTTAATGCAAGCTTTCCAAAGAGAGTAAAATGCAGAACAATTTCCAAAGGAAGAACAGAACAATTTCCAAAGGAAGCATGTACCTTTTTATATATAGCTTTGTTTTTAGAAAAGAATATTTTTGTAGTTTAACACCATGCCAACCATGTAACCTCATTTGCAACCTAAATCGAATGTTTATTGAAACCGTGATTGTTGAGTAAATTTGGTGTTTCCAGGAGGCCTTTCACTCACATTGACTCTGGGTACAACCCAAAATAGGTTGCAATTTAATGACTACAACATCCAAATAAAAGATGCCATCTGTCTCGTTTGGTTCTGGCTAACAAAAAGATCAAGCTTTTGTGACATTAATCACTTTGAAAACACTGCATGGATTCTCGCTTTAAAAAAAAAAAACAGCAGCTGTCCCACCCTTAAACCCTCTCAGTCTTAATTTCTTTTTGTTAAGAGTGTCAAAAAATATGAACATGAGATAGTTTGGGAAGATGGGTTTTTTGATTCAAATTAAACTCTTACCCTAATCCTAAACTTCACTAAACAGTTCGATATAAATGATCAGTTATCACAATAGAGAAAGAAAGAGGGAGATAGTGGGAAGGGAGGCACCAGAATTAGTAATAGAATTGGTGCACCTATTCAGAGAATCAACTAATAGATAGAAAATAATATGTGAGCTGTAGGTCCTCAGTATAATTACTCACTGAGACCAAATTGCCAAATGATTTCCGGCGGGGCTTCCTGTAAGAGGCTAAATATCATGGAAAACAAAGTAGAATCCTGCAATACTCTACAGAACAAAAACCGTAATGAGCCGAGGTGGCGAAGTGGTTAGGGTGGAGTACTGCAGGCCACTTCAGCTGACTGTTAGCTGCAGTTCAGCGGTTCAAATCTCACCGGCTCAGGGTTGACTCAGCCTTCCATCCTTCCGAGGTGGGTGAAATGAGGACTCAGACTGTGGGGGCAATATGCTGACTCTGTAAACCGCTTAGAGAGGGCTGAAAGCCCTATGAAGCGGTATATAAGTCTAACTGCTATTGCTATATTGCTACTATCAGGCTGCCTGATTTATTTTTAATTGATGGGATCAATGCAATACCTTGTGTGACTTTTGTGAATCTAAAACTTCTGTATTCTATCTGTAGGTTATATCTGAAAATTGGTTATAGGAAATCACATATAATTAGAGATGAGTTCAAATAGTCTTTGAAAATTCTCTATCACATTTCTGGACAAACATTTTTTTTTTTGAGGGAATACCTTTTTGAAATTTCTTCAGGGGAAGGAGAAGATTTCCAACAATTGCTCGATGGTTAGATTCCTCTTTATTACTACTACTGAAAATTCCAGGGAGTTGTGGAAAGTGTGGAAGTCAGAAAGACTGGAGTTTATTATTATAGTGATACATCTGACATTCCTTCACATTTCTTGACCATCAATTAAATAAATAATTGCCAAAATGCTACTCCTATACAATTTTCTGAAATTTTCTTTTTGAAAGACATTTCTAAATTCTCTTTTATCAACACTGCTGACTACCCATTCAAATAGAATTGAAAAAATCAGTAATGACCACTCTTTAACAGGATTAAATCATTGTGTGAATCAGACCTTAAATGTAATCAAGCTGCCTTCTTTTGTGAACTTGAAAAAAAAATGAGGTATATGTTCTAGGCTATTGAAGCGCTTGTTTTACTGACCTTCAAATTCTTTGCTACTTTTCTGCTTTCTGCATGACTACCATCAATGATATTAGATCTGGTCTGAAGAATGGTATTTCTCCTCTGGTTTAGCAGCTAGTAAATATAACTATTTACGATGACCTTTCATTGGTTCATCCTATCTTCTTCCATCCAAAACACATACACACACACACACACACACACACACACACACACACAAATGAATATTTCAGTGACAATAAAACAACCAAAAGTAATTTTCCAGATTGTTCTGAGAAAAAGAAAAGGTAAGGAAATAAAGGTTTGCAGGTCTAAAGCACAATAAATAGAAATAACAGCAACCAATATACAAAGAAGTCTTGAAGTCTTTTTTTTCCTGAATTTTCGGCGGTATGAAATGAATATTTTCATTGTTTTCTCCCTTCAGCATCAACACATTCTGAGTCAAATCAATCAAATTGCTGAAGAATGGTGTGGGTTCAAAAATGATAAAACAGTTGTAAATTGTTGATTGAATTTGGAAATATACATTAGAATTCAATGTTTGATATCAGAAAGCCTGAAGTTAAGCAGAGGGAGGGAGAGGAGAGAGAAAATATCTGAAAATGTGCCTTGGCATTGTTGCTCATCTTATCCTGCTAAAATAATGCATTGTTTTTGGAAATAACAATAGAAGAACCAAAAAGCAGAATCAAATCCCCCAAGTACAATAGTGCCTCAACTCTTTTGAAACTCATCTAATTTGGTACTCAACACATTTTGACGTGAACATTTTATCCCAGTACTCAGTGTTTGTTTGGTACACATTGCACAAGCTAGAACTTGTGATTGTTAACTACATTATTCATTATGGGAAAAATTTGTTTGGTACTCATCACAACTCCTGGAACCAATTAATGATGAGTACCCCAAGGTACCATTTTATCAGTAAAATAGATACAGTGAAACTAGACATTCAAGTTTTCTTTTGTTGAATAGTTTAGGATATTTCCCTATCAGTCTGGACATGGACATAGCCAGTAAAATGAGAGGAAGGAAAAGAGAAGATACAAACCTCCACCAAATGTTCTACAAAAAGATGCTACGCAGACATCTCTGTAAATGTGATTTTTCCTGACCTGATAGTTCACTGGTTCAGATAACAAGCTGATTATGCCTCAGCCATTTTCATTCTTTAGCTAATACTGGAATATATGTCACTTCCAATCATACATCAAGTTTCCAGTTTTATTTATCAAAATCCTATTGTGGTAAAAGTTATACATTGCTTCCATCTAAAGAGAGCTCTAATGTTACTATAATGCAAACGCTTTTCTTGGGATATTTCTCATGCTTTTTTCAGAGCATTATTTTTTTTTTACCCTAAAGTAAGAAAAAAAATTGACGCTGAAAAATATCTATCCAGGATTTTATGATATAGGGCAGTGATGGCTAAGTTTTTCTAAAGGTGTGCCAAAATTGTGTCCATGCATGCTATGACACATGCACACATGCCCACCCACATGCCCACCCACCATGCATGTGTGCATGACTACCCCATGTGTGTGTGGGGGAGTTGCCCTCCCCAAGCTCTGGAGGCTTTCCTGAAGCCCTGGGAGAGTAAAAATGGCCTCCCCTGGCCCTCTGAAAGGTCAAAAATTAGCTGGGCGGTGCACACATGCACTCCAGAGCTGAGGGCTGTCATGCCAGCAAATATGCCCCATGTGCCACCTGTGGCATGCATGTCATAGGCTTGCCATCATGGATATAGGGTCCCTTGCTTGAGCAGAATACAGAATACAGAGTACTTCTCCAGAATACTCGAAGATCTGTAGAAGATCTCCAAAGTCCCTTCCAACTCTGTTATTCTGTATTCTATTCTGTATAAATTGAATCTTTCATAGCGCAGAATCCTAGTTAACATAGAAGCCAGTGCATGCGTAACTATGTGTGATGGTTTTTATTCTGCAGACAGTTAGACCTCCAGCAGGAAAATCATCTCAGTAAGGTCAGCAGGGGCTCAGATTTCAGTGCAGTATTACCTAGGCTCCTTAATTGAACTGCCCATAGTCTTTGGTTTGAATGCAAAAAGTCTACAGAGTGACTCTACTATCACTTTCCTGTCTGCTGCATGGAAGAGAAAGAGAAGGTATCATCTGAAGTTTAGAGTAGGAATGGGGGAAGTGAGAATGACATGACAGGTGTATCCAATTTTTGATGCTAGCCAGTCACCTTCCAGTGTCCTTTTGCAGATTGTCCTTCAGAGGAATTTGGTCCTCAGAGTTACCTGCTTGCTGTAAGAAAATCTCTTGGTGCACAAGGGTAGCTACTTTGGATCCAGGAAACTCCATTGGTACAAAGTTTCAGCTGGATCAGGTAGTGATTAGTCCCTCCTGTGCTTTAGAGCTTAAAATACTTTGCAAGACAGACCACACAGTGTCAATTATATTTACCTAGAAGTAGCTCCTACCGAGCTCCATGGGACTTCCAGATAAAATGCATTTAGGATTATAGCCTTGTGTTACTTTAATGACAGCTTGTTCCTAAAGTGGCCAGTTTAACACACGCAAATAGACATATAGTCTTAGCAGAATCCTTTCAGACAGAGAATATGAACATATTTAATACTAGCCCGGTACTGTAAAATTATCGCATCTAATTATAATCGCAGACCCGGGATAGAAAAAAAAATATACAGTAGGGTTTGGCTTGCTCACCCAATTTTAAAACAGTAAGTAAAGTCCTAGGAAATGATAGCGTTAGAAATTTCTGCATTGAGCTAAATTTAGTTTTTGGCCTGGCGTTTTTGGAGGTCTGCCTGGTGACATTATGTCTGAATATCTGCCATTTTTTTCATGTGCTTAAACAGCAAAATATCTGCCAAAAACAATACCCAGGAAATATAGTGGAAGAAAATGTTGGCAACTAAATTTGTCTAGGTTTTTTGTTCTATTGAGAAGGAGCATATAAGCCTTTATCATTTTCTATTTCTCATAAAGTGAAGTCTCATTTGAAGTAAGCTTCACTTTTGGCACAAACATGACCCTACTTGGCCATAGTATGGAAGTGATTTGTTATAACCATCTTCCAGATTCCCCCCTCCCCTTTTTTCAACTTCCATACTAGTCTGCTTCCAAATTACAGGCACTATCTGAATATATCCAATTGAATAAGCAAAGCAAATGAAATAAAATAATATCCTGAACTTGACATCGTATGAGATTAATTGACTGATTCTTTAAAAAAAGTCTTGCTACAATTTAATGGACTTCAGGCTTCCAAATGCAATAGAAATCCAAAAATAATAAGCAGCAACAAAAAGAAAACTAAAAACATGAAGCACACAAAGGGGTCTTCTGTTCCAAAAGACCCTCCAGAATAACCCAGTCTCCAATAACTTTTAAAAGTTAAAAACAGATCTATGTTCTATGTAGAACTTGTCAACTTTGGCTGGCTGGGGAGTTGAAGTCCACAAGTCTTAGTTGTTCCCTGCTGTAAGGGAACACTAGTTAACACAAAAAGAATGCCTGAAATTGCCCATAAATGCTTTCTGGTCATTTCCTTTATGACAAGGACCTTGAAGACCATCATTTTTAACGGCCTGAAATCTCACTAAATTGTCATCTCTTATGTGAGTTCAGGGTTTTCAAAGTATCAAAAGATTACAATGTGTGTTAATCTTGTGAAATGCTTGTGAAATTTTCTTTTCATTTTTTTAAAATTGCTGATANACTCCCAGAATTCCCCAGCCAGCATTCGCTGGCTGGGGAATTCTGGGAGTTGAAGTCCGGACATCTTCAAGTTGCCAAGGTTGGGAAACACTGGCCTAGAGGGTGCTGCTCATCCCCAGTGAGGGAATTCAGGTCTATGGTCTGGTGTCATTGTCATTCTGTGCATTTTGGATGCTACAGGTGTGTTGAGCTCACCTTCTCTTCTTTTTCTGCCTGGCTTTCCAGATTGGGAAAAGGGAATGCAGGTGCCACTGGATATTGCCCTCGCCTACCTAACGCAAGGCAGTTTTTATGCCCATTCTATCTATGCCACCCTTTACATGGATGCCTGGCGCAAGGACTCGGTCGTGATGCTTATTCACCACGTGGTCACACTGACCCTCATCGCCTTCTCCTATCTTTTCAGGTAATTCTCACGGCTTTTCCTGGTTCCCACCGTTGGCTGCTCTGCTGCCAACGGGCTGTCCTCATTGGCTGAGCTTTTGTGACGTCACAGTTATGCTCACACTACAGGTAGTCCTCGACTTACGACCACAATTAAGCCCCAAATCTTTCCAAAATGGAAGCCAGTTGTCAAGTGTCCAGATTTTTAATCACGTGCCCGTGGGAATGCTGCAACGATCCTAAAGGTGAAAAATGTGGGTTATAAATCACTTTTTCCAGTACAGGTAGTCCTCAACTCACAACAGTTTGTTTAGTGACCGCTCAAAGTTACAACGGTACTGAAAAAGCCATGACTTACGACCGTTTTTCAGTTGTGACCTTTGCAGGATCCTCATGCTCACGTGGTCAGAATTCAGATGTTTGGCAACTGGTTCATATTTATGACGGTTGCAGTGTCCCCCGGGGGTCACGTGATCCCCTTTTGCGACCTTCCGACAAGCAAAGCCAATGGGGAAGCCAGATTCACTTAGCAAGCAGGTTGCTAACTTATCAACTGCAGTGATTCACTTAACAACTGTGGTGAGAAAAGTCGTAAAATGGGGCAAAACTCACCAAATGTCTCACTTAACAACAGAAAACCTGGGCTCAATTGTGGGCATAAGTCAAGGACTACCTATAATGTTGTAATTTTGAATGGTCACTCAACGAATGGTTGTAAGTCGAGGACTATGTGTAGAGGGCAGATCAGGGGTGAAATCCTCCCGGTTTGGCCCAGTTCAGCCGAACTGGCAGGGATGATTGGCATCAGTTCTCCGAACCGGTTGCAAAATCTCTGGTGGCCCCGCCCATGCTCACTTGGTCGCCCAGTTGCCGCTCACCTCTTCCCGCTGCTCGCTCGACCCTTCCGGTTGCTCGGCCAGCCCACCCAATCCAAACGTTTCTCCCTCCATTCACAGCAAAGCTGCTGCAGCCTGTCCCTTTAATGTAGACCCAGGGAGGGGGCTGGGGGGGCATAAAGGGAGCAGCAGCTCCGCTGTGAACTGTGGGAGAAACCCTCGGATTGTCTCTGCTGCATTTAACATTGAATTCTGTGGCAGAGAGAATCCGAATGTTTTTCCCTCCGTTCACAGCAGAGCTGCTGCAGCCTGTCCCTTTAAGGTACTCCGACCCCTGGGAGGGAGTTGGTCAGGGGAACCATAAAGGGAGCAGCAGCTCTTCTGTGAACGGAGGGGAAAACGTTCAGAGTGTCTCTGCCACAGAATTTAACGTTAAATGCAGCAGAGACAATCCAAACGTTTCTCCCCTCCATTCCCAGCAGAGCTTCTGCAGCCTGTCCCTTTAAGATACTTCGACCACAGGAGGGAGGGGGGGACCATAAAGGGAGCAGCAGCTGCACTGTGAATGGACTTATACAGACATTTTTTCCTACAGGGTTTTGATGATGGTGGAGGCATGTGACTGAGTGGGCATGGCCATGAGTGACATCGAGTTAACCACTCAGTCACAGGACTCCACCACCAAGCCACGCCCACAGGACCGGTAATTAAGTTTGTAGTTCAGAGGAGATCAGTAGAATAGTCCATGTGTGATAACAACAGCATTTCTATAGGGCCGTGAAGGTGAACCTATGGCACGTGTGCCCGAAGTGGCACGTGGAGCCCTGTTGCCTGGCATGCACGGTGTCGCCTGTTCCTCTTCCAGGTTTTTGCCGTGCATACCCGCGAACAATCAGCTGGCCATGCGTGTGACAGCGCCGGAAACTGGAAGAGCTAGTCTTCCATTTCCTGGCATGAGCATGTGTGCTGGCCAGTTGATCGGTGTGCATGCTTGCACGCCAGAAACTGAAAGACTAGCTGGCCAGTGCGCATATGTGTGCCAGAAACTGGTAGTTCCCGGGCAGCTCCTCTTCCAGGTTGTGGCCCTGACAAGCGCACACTCGGTGCCGAAAAGGTTCGCCATCACTGCTATAGGACATTCTCTCATTTTGTAACAAGGAATGATAATCCTCAGTTCATGACATTAATTGAGCCTGGAATTACAGTGGTAGGTCATGCTCGTCTTTTAGCAGGTTACCACATGACTCCCAATTTTGCGACCGCTTGTTGCATTGGTCATTAAGCAAACACCATGGTCATTAACCAAACCTACTGAATTCAATGGGCGTTTTGTTTTTGCAGCAAACCAAAAGTATACCTGACCAGTTGTAAGTTGAGTGTCAGCGTTCCAAATATCATGCAGAATTAAATCAGAGTCCAAGGCAAAACTATCCCCAATGTTCCAATTTAATAAGACAGACATGTTGGCAACAAACTGTGGAATCCCAAATCTAAAAGCTTCCTAGGAGTCCCCCCAGTTGAAAGTTCCGTGACCCGACAAAAGCGCAAACGTCATAAGCGTGCCGACAACACCGCGGCGCTAAAACCGCGATGTCAAAAGCGCGGCGACAACAGCGCACCGACAACAGCGCGCCGACAGAAGCGCGATTTAATTTAAGGTAAGGTTTAGGGTTAGGTTTAGGGTTACGTTACAGCGCGCTTCTGTCAGCGCGCTTTTGTCGGTGCTAATTCGTCACTCATTCGTCACGCGGTTTTGTCACCGCGCTTTAGTCACCGCGCTTTAGTCACGCGCGCTTTTGTTGTGCGCGCATTTGTTGTGGAATCGAAAGTTCATGATCTTATCCCTACACCCATAAATCCATCACATGGTCCAATCTTCTTCGGCCACGCTGGCATCTCCACCCATCTAGTTCCGGTCAGGTGCGGAGAAAAAAGATGACCTTGGGCTTCTAGAAAGGAATGACAAC